TAAACAGTTCCACAAAATGACAATATTTTCAGGAACTCTGCTGTTTTTCTTTACGAGCTACTTGAGACGCGGTATACGTATCAGTATATGTATATCTCTGGTACACAGTATATATAATTGAAAATTTGACTTTAGAAACCCGGGATTTATTTTTGAAAATGATTATTACAGTGATTGAGTAAAGTTACAAACAACTCGTGACTTATAAGCTTCGAAAATTAGTTATTGTTATCTATGAATGTTATGTAAAATTTACATTGCCATTTTGACTACCTAAATAAAAAAAGTGGTTTTTGCGTAGATTAAATGTGCATAAATTGAGGATGACATGTTTTCATAGCGACACTTTTTTTGTTAAGTTTTCGTTTATTTATTGTTCAACTAGAATATATATTGATCTAAGAATGTTGACGTTAAATCAATCATATGGTTTAATTGTATGAGGAAAAATCGAAAGATATAGGAAAGATTGTTTTTTCAATGAATAATTGACTAATATCAATCCGCATCAAACACTGCAGCAGCAGCACACAAGAGTAACATCCTACCGTATAGACTAGATTCTTCACAGTTACCGTTCACTTTAGTTACTTTGTAACTAGTAACTACGAATTTAACGTTACTTTTAGTTATTTTCTAGTTACTTTCAGTTGCTTTTGAAGTTACTAGTTACAAAGTAACTAAAGTAAACGGTAACTGTGACGTCCCTAGTATGGACAAAAACACTTACATCATAAAAATGATAGTTGAGAATATAGACGTAAAAACAAGACGAATTTTAGTAGTGAACATTGATTTAATAATCTTCCAAACAGATCAAAACTACTTTTCATTTTAATAGTACAGTTAAATTTGACATTGACTAAAAAAATACAGCCTGATGATAGTCATTTTTATCCGTGTCAACATTTCTAAGCCTCTTTCCGCAGTCAATTCTACTGTCAGACAATCAGTAGTATAGAGTACTCCCATTTTAATTTAGCCTTGTAAAAGAGAAAGATCAAACCCTGTCATTTCTGTTGAAAAACTCATATATAAAGTTTGTATTCACCTCTAGAACACTATGTTTAAGTCGTAATACAGTAATTATCGAATATTTAATATGCTAATCGATAGTGAGAGTGTTTTTTCGTGAAAAGAGAGAGCTATTGACGTTTTGTTTAGTCTATCATACTCTCTACTTCTTCTGATGAGCTAATATTGGTTCACCAACAAGAAGGAAAGAATGAAAAGAAAATTCATAAGTAGGTTAATTCAATGTGCTTCTAATTTGACTGGTTTTTAGTACGATTGATACTGCTAGTGAATCTAGTTCTCTCAATTTTTCAGACTGTTGTCCAAAATTTAGAATTCCCTATCCTAACTGGAAACAGTTATGAAACTTCATCAGGTAAATTGAATTCTTCGATCGATTTTGTATCAGAAAATAAGAAGAATCCATACTGAAATTCTTGAATAAGAAAGTTTTCGATATTTTTTATTCTCCGTCATTTGTTATATAAACGATCTTCTCTTTTCTGAAAAAAATATTTGAGTGACGAAAATTTTGAATTTTTCTTCCTTTGACCTTTTCTTAAATCATTAAAGAGTTATATGAAAGAGATGATATAATTAATTTGTGTTCAACAACGAAAAGAATCCAAATAATTTTTAAGCAATTTGTCTATGAGAGAGATACTAATGCTTATGTAGACTGTGTGTGTATGTTCTCTGGATGATAAAACGTGATGATTACCTGTTCTATTTTATCTTCATTGAATACACATGATAATGTCACATCTTGTCCAACATCGGCACATATGATCAAATCATCATTATTGTACGAATTATTAAACGATGTTGTTTTATGAATGAAGATGATAAAAAGTAGAATAAAAACAATCAAATTTTGTAATCTAATACGCATTACATAACATAATGACATCATATTAATATGATGATTTGTCTAATAATGTTCGTAATGTATTATATGCTTCGGAACAATTACAATTGTAGCACCAAATTATTTATGTATAACAGATAGCATTAAAATCAATAAAAATTATATGCACAATTCACACGTCAATGTGTTGAAATATCAAAAAAATTACTTTTTTTCTCACTTTGTAATAAAACTTTTTCTTTTACTCTACGCATAAGATTTTATTTCAACGAGCGTTTCTGTGTTAGTGTCTACTTATCTATCCTATAATTAAAAGTGTTATACCTTACTTTCTTGTCTTTTTCGCCAATTCACTGCCCGAAAATGAACGAGACAAAGAAAGCAAGAAAGAAAGAAGGAAAGAAAAAAAAAAATGTTCAACTATTTTCTCTCTTTTTCATCTTCCATACAATTGATGTAGGAGATTGAAGATGCAGCTTTTTGGCAGGTGTCCCAGTAGTTTTCTTTGCTGATCATTAATATAAATATTGATTTTGAAAAAAGAGAGGTGGAATACTTCTTAATTCATTTGCATGTTTTGTGAAAGAGTTTGTTTAACGTTTAGACAATAGATCTATCAAATGGTGGATGATGAATAATATAAAATTTTACTATTTACTATCGAGCAAGTTTATGTCTCTAAGTCGAAGAAATGTAATAATTATGACTTTATCCTGAGTAACTGTTTCCAATATTTACGTTTTCTATCTCATACAGAAGAACTTTATAGAATATCTATGCTCTGTACTATTCTAACAAACATTGTTAGTTTGGAATTTTTGATAGAAAAAACGTCACATCTAGAGACGATTTATTGTTTTAGTTGTGTGTGTGTGTGTATAAGAATTTCATCTAAACAAAGAAAAAAATTAACACTTTATAGTAGATAGAATAATTAGCCAGAAGGATATGGGCACACATGAACAACAATAAATAACGTATTTCGATTTGACTTTTTGACTTAAAAGTGTACACTATACACCCTGACATTAGTCTTCGTTCTAATTGCACAACGTACTATAAACGACTGGTATATATACAATGCATATCTAGATCGATTTTCTAGTTTGAAAAATGTATGGAAGAATTTCTTCTATTCTATAAGAAATATGAACACTTACTAGATCGAACTTTTTAAATTCTTCATAAGTTTAAAAATGTTCAGAGAGAAGATTTACTTAACGTATAAATTACTGATTAAAATTCATATTGGACTTTGAACTTCTGCCGTACGTGAAGGCAATACATGAATTAATTTTTTGTGAAATCATTAGAATCTATTAATATGATACTTTATGACAGATTCTATTGTTCTTATACTAGTCGTCGTTGAAGTGTCGATGTTATATTCAATAATAATCATCGTGTTATCAGTTCCATTTTGTCTTTTTTTAAAGACATATTGTACTGAAGTTTCTGATAAAAACAGCTGGCGATTATTAAATAAAAAAAAAGAAGACTATACGTCTGGTGAGAAATTAAACAGAGAGCTCTTTGAAACATCCGTTCTATTCTACTAAATTATTTTTTATTGAAAACTTGATTGATTGTAGATAAACTATCATATTTCACTATCTTTCCAATTGCAATTATTAAACGTTAAATTAAAAAGTATTTTCTCTCCATTAATGAATCGTTCTTTAAATTTACAATTCAATTTAATCTCTAAGAAATATGTCATGAAAACATCATAGTTAGATGAAACTAAATTTTTCAATAAAATAAGAAATTGAAGTTTTTGATAATGACTATGTTCAATGAAAATAATGTGCCGTCTGAATTATCCTTTTCTCTCTTCATTCATCCAATCCACTATTGAAGAATAATATTTAATCATTACGTTATTTATTCTGTTCTATTTTTCTGATGAAGATATAAGTATTTTGTTAAACATTTTTTTCGTTTTTTTCTTTCTCATTCTGTTATACACATATGCTCATAATCATAAGAGTTAAATGAACACATTGATTTTTCTTTTTATAGACTACTGACCACTACTTGAATCGTAAATGTTTTCATCGATTCTACTTCAGTTATTTTCTTAGCAATTTTCACCGGAACTAAAATAATAATAAATCGATCATACGTAAACAAAATGTACAAGAATAAAAACTACCGTCGTCTTCATCATTAAACAATTTCGTATAGAAGAACCAAAAAAAATATTGTCTGGTCATATGAACAAAGAATGAAACTTAGGCTGTCTTGGATAGGTATGCACCAGTTAAAAGCTGGTGTTAGGGCATCCAGAAAAATTGCTATAAATTGCCTATAAAGAATCATTCAGAGTTGTGGTACGTCTCATTTTGTAGAGAAATGTTTGGACTACAATTCCATATACCTAGAAAAAGTTTGAAATTATCTGTGATACAAATATGGACATTCTAAAATGTACTAAATTCAGAAGAAAAACCCTGTTCAAACAGTTTTTTTCCTAACTTCAGTGCATTTTAGAATGATCACATATTTCTTAGGAATAACTTCAAATTCTTTTTCATAGCTGAGTTTTGTAGAGCAAACATTTCTCCACAAAATGAGACATTTCGTGACTCTGATTAATTCTTTATAGACAATTTATAACTATTTTCGTGGGAGCCCTAACATCACTGTTTAACTGGTGCATGCCTAGTCTTGAATAGAAAGTCCAAAAAACGAATCAGCAGACCAATGGTGATTAAAAGTATAAAATATATGCGAGATGAGTCTTATTTGTGCGTTAAAACAATAATTTTCTTATATAATACAATATGTTCTATAACAAATAAGAAAAATCTCTATATAAAACTTAATTTTTCTCTCGTTTTCGTTTAACAAATGTCAATTCACTTTTATTTACAATTCCATAATCTTTTACTAATCTGTTATTATCCATTAACTTTTCACCATCTATCGTTGTCAACCAATATCGTTTCCACACTGAACGCCAACTAATTTTTAACGGATATTTTTTTGTTAATGTTTCTCGTTGTAATTTTAATAAAAATTTATTTTTAATTGCTCGTTTTAATTCATAGACACGACATTTTTGTGATATAATTACATTTATTATGGAGTTATCGAAACGTCGTATATTTAATGACATTGCTTGACCATGTTCAAGTTCATTCAATGATACAAGTTCATCAACAGTAACATTATCGGGATGAATGTCAATAAGATAAGGATCAGATGTGATTAGGTGAACAAGTTTTGATCGAAGTGTACTGATAAATTCTTGATGATTTAAAATCGTCAAATCTTCTAGTTGATTAACAGACATCTACAAAAATAATTAGAAACAATTGATCTATTCTATATCTGACCACTCAATTAAAAAAAGAAAAGAAACTCGATTTTGAGATTTATACACGATTTGGTAACTCCAAAGTCTTATCTTTCGATTAGACTAGCTTTTCTGTATCTCAAAATACGTTTTCAGGGTTTTTCAGCATATTTTCTGAAAATTCTAAACGACTGCTAGACTCAAGTCAAGAAATGCGGTCATTATATGAAAAAATGTCTGTACAGGTAGATACTTATGCGATAAATACATGCTGTATATACATCGGATTCAGCATAGTCGAAAACTTATTAAAAATATATATTTCTCAAAATTGTTTTTTTTTGTCTTAGAAAAAACTGTTGCTATTTAAAAGATTTATTCTCTATTTTAAGCCTCATAAAGTTCAAATTGATCTTAAATTAAAGAAAAAACTAGGTGATGGGACACTACTGAGTCTAATTTTTGAAATTTTCATTTTTATTCATCAATGTTTTACCTTGAAAATCCGAACAGTCATGGACTAATTTTAAGGAAATCCTTTTTCTCGAAGGTTGAGATAAAAAATAATATCCTGCTATAGTATAGCATTGAATGTTCTCTTTAATTTAGGATTAACTCGAGCATTCTGAAACTAAACATAGAAGAGAAATCTTGTAAATACAGAGACCTACTTTTTAATTCTTGTGCCTTGGATAGCTTAAAACCAAAAAGTTTGGTAAATATCGTCCCCCTATTGGTTAATAGTCACATATTTTTGTAGTTATATATACATTTTATTACTATTATCGTTTTGACAATTACAAAAATAAAAATAATATGAGATTTATCGTGTTTCTCCTAAGTCATATGAAATACTGTCCATTAGTTTATTTAATCTTTCTTTAATTAATGGTACGGCACTTGTTGCCACAAATAAATGATTTTCATCGAGATGGTGTAAAATGAATTTCATACCAAATTCATTTGTTTCATCTAAATGAATAAGATATTGTTTAACGGCAGCATCACATGTTATTAATGAACCTTTGGAAACGTTAACCATCTTTTGTTCTTTTTTTGTCTTTTTTTGTCTTTTTTTTAATCTAAAAATGAAATGTTGTCATAATAAAAATCGGATTTTTCTAAATAATTCGTGAACGATAATAGATAACAGAAATAAAAAGATACTCTACGTAATTTCCAATCAATCGTAAAAATATGAAGTCGTGGTCATTTTTGGTTTTACATTGGCAACATTTTACAGAAAGTTCGAAGAGAGAACAGAAATAGCTTTAAAACATTCCTACCTAAAAAGAATTTTAAAGTTCATTGAAAGATATCGATATTCTATCCTCAATACAAGTGAGTGATTAAAAGTATTTTTTTATTCAACTGTAAGATAAAGAGCAACAAGTGAATAGAGTCAAAATCTGAGAAATTTTGATTTTCGCTGAAAAGTACTTTTTTTAAAATAATTGTTTTTTGTTCGGAGAACCGACCACTAGAGAACAGTGGTACTGAATCGGTCACACCACATTTAAGCTTGATTTGAACAAATAGTTTTTCTTTTTGATACGATCGCGTCAACTATAGAAATTAATAATCATTCTTTATAAAGAAATTTGAGCGTTCAATTTAATTTTCATAGTATGTAACTTCATGGATTTGCTTATCGAATTATCACCAATTCGCGCACTATTACCGATAAGCAACGTGAACATTACAACTGAGGTTTAAAATGAGTATCTTAATGGGTTATTCGTTGAAATATTACAAGACATTTTTATACTACAAATCAACTCTTTATCTTTCTTTTCTCTTATTTATCACCAATGTATGTGCCAATGTTATCAATGACATTAATATACTTTGGCTGATAGAAGCTTTATTCTGTCGGAATACAAGCGGACAAATATTCTATTATACTGTTCTAAACTAAAACTATCAAAAAACACAAAAATCAATTTTGTACGAATAGAGGTTGGAACATATGAACTTAGCTTTGCAGTAAACCGCAAAACTGAATCCATACTTTGATTTTAACGGTTCTAAGACAGTTTGTTTTCATCCTTTTGTTGTCTTGCATGATTTGTCTGGTTTATTCATCTTAGTTCGTACCCTTTCTTGACGACAGAAAAGTCGTCTTCTATAATTGCGAAAAGTCTAGAAAAGTAAAAATACACAACGGAAAAGGCACTTTTCCTCTTAGTTACAGTGAATCCTTTTGACTTATTACTTGCATGGAAAGCCCTTTTTCGGCGAGTGACTCTAGATAACGAATTGTCTACAGGCAAAAAGTATCGAAACGAATTGTACGAGATAAAAAGGACGAAGATCAAGTATTCGGTCACTGTTTTAACTTTTGCTGTTTTTTCAAGTGCTTCAACACTTATTACTCTGTATATCATAATTGAATTGCTTCATAATCGGCTTCCAATTTTCCTGCATCTTTTTCCATCAGTTCTTGTCTGATCTTTCTAACAGAGTATTCAATGCTGGAAGTCTTTAGCTCGATCCCAGAAATAATGGAGTAGAAATCTACAACAATAAAAATATTTCTTTTAAAATACAGGATGATAGTTGAGCTAACATTTGGCGATAGTCAAGCAGGCCGTATTTAACTAAAGTCGCATCACAAGTAATATTCACCCAGCCTTGATTAATATGTGGTTAATTTACCCAGTGGATCAAGCCTACTTGTTAGTGAGTCGCTCTCTAAGACATAGCACAAAAATCATTATTGTTCCTAATAATCTCGAATCTTCATTTGAAAAATAAGATGAGTGCCAGCAAAAATGGCAAAAGTTTTGTTTAATCAAAATTTTACATACAAAAAAATCACGTTTTAGTAGAAAAAAGCAGCAATAGCAACAGTCAAAGGAATGATTAGATATCATCATGTTTTGATAAATATTGTCTTAATCTTGCAAGCATTTCTTTTTTAATCGTATCAGGAACAAGAGCTAAAACAAAAATTATGTGAAATGAACAATTTATCAAAAGACTCACAAAATTTTGTTCCTTACCTCTGCCTTTCGGTGTTATTTCTTGAACAAGTTCATCGACAGTGATATTTTCTAACCCTTTTTGTTTCACGATTTCTAAAACAAAAAATGTTGAAGTGTAACTCTAAGTATACATTGGAACATGGTACGATCGAACAGCAGATACATTGAGACTCAAACTTTTAAACTATATTGTAGTTTTTGAGTTATTTTTTGATTATGCTACAGATGGAAGATATAAGCCAAATTGACTTGAGTAGTTTCACAGAATTTTCAACGAGAAGTGGTGTGTATAAAAATTCTATTGGAATTGCTAAAAACCAAGTCTCTGGATCCCATCAAAAAGTTTTCGTAAACAACTTAGTTGAATAGATCAAACATTTCTGTAGGAAAGGAGACGTCTCCACGACATTTTTCCATCAAGCTACATTCAATCCACGAAAGGTCCCCGCCGGTCAAAACCAGCAACATCGATAAAAAAATAACAACAGCAAAAAGGAATCTTTTCGTAGATTGAATGTATTTTGATGGAAAAACGTCGTGGAAACGCCTCCTTTCCTACAGAAATGTTTGATCTATTCAACTAAGTTGTTTACGAAAACTTTTCGATAGGATCCAGAGACTTGGTTTTCAGCAATTTCAATAGAATTTTTATACACATCACTTCTCGTTGAAAATTCTATAAAACAACTCAAGGCAGTTTGGCTTATATCTTTTATCTATAGCGTAATCAAGAAAATAAATCAAAACTACAATATAGTTTAAAATTTTAATTTATTCGTCAAACACATAATCGATTGACACACTAAAAACTTTCTCCGTTCTCTACTTTATAATAGCCATGATAGTTATATAACTCATAATAATTTGTTTTATTATTAAATATATTTTTATGTGTACCTTTACAATATGATTTCATTTGATCTCTCCAACCGTATTCAATTAATCTTTGTCGTAAAAGTTGTTTCATTCTAGATATAAATAAATAAATAAATAAATAAATAATTAAAAATAAAATATTCTTCAGTAATACTTACTGTTCACGTTCTCCACTTTCCATCAGTTTTGTATTTAATGTAGCACGAATCTGAGAATTACGATCAGTCATCTTTTTAAAAAAAAATCTACAAACAAAATAATAATTATCAAAGAATACTGTCTATTGGTAGATAACAGAGAATGATGCTCGTAAGAAAATATATCGTTGTCAAGATTAATTTTATTTTTTTTAGATTTATATTTATTAGAAAACTGTCTACAAGATATAAGAGGACGAGAAAAAAAAATGAAGTGGTACGTTAGAACTAAAAAAATGATTAACGCTTAATAATTACAACAATTGGTATGATAGAAATCCAATAAATACAGATGGTGAAACTCTAGAATTAATAGAATGGCAGACGTTTCCATGTAAGCATATTAAAGAAAAATGGACGAATATCCCAGTTATTTGTTTTCCATTCATATCGTTTATCCTAGAAAAACAAACACGTTTAGGATACTGTAAAAAAGCTTGAACACCCACACCCACACAGAGACAGCTATCAATGATGAATAAGTTATCCATTATTAGTAAACAAGTCGAATGAACTTATTCGAACAAATGGCAGTATTATATCAAAACAAATTTTTTCAATACTTACATATTTCATCATCTCAACAGTTGCCTTTAGTGCATTTGGTTCTGTTCGCCATTCACATGCTCTTGTATAACGATTTATATTAAACATCCGAGTCCACCATTCTTCGTTCTGTAATCTAAAACATAACAATAATATAAAGCGTCTTTTTGAGAAAATGATGGATAAATAGTAGAAAAATTGTTATTTTTCTCTCTCTCTCTCTCTCATTACTTACAATGCTCGATGCCATTCCACTTCCAAATCGTTTGTTATTCTCCAATCTTTAAATTTACCGTCAACAGTAAAATCCAATTGCTCAATATCAAATACTACCTGAAATATGGAAAGAGAGAAAAATAAGAAAAGTTAAGAATCGATATGACATCTTTTTTTATCTTACTCACATCTTCAATATTTAATTCTTCTTCAGTATATTGCAGTATGTGACAAAATGAACTAAGAGACAAAAAGACTTGCTAAATAGTTTTGTGTAACAACATAATAAAGTAACAAAATAATATACCTCATACGTGGTAAAAATTCGTCTTTCATTATTCTATCCATTGTTCGAAGAAATTCTAATGAATACACTTTACTTTTCTTTTGATAATCCTAAATATCAAAAAATTAATAATTACTACACATTGAACAAAACAGCAAAAGAAAAAAAGAGCATCAACGAAATATTTAAATGAAAAAACTTATCTCATATTGATTTTTAGAAAGGAAATTGGCTATGGAATTAAAAAAAGTCTACTTAACGTTATAAATAGCTGATATATTTAACTTTTAAAAATTTAATATCAGTTTTTCGACCTGTCAGAGAGCATCTTTTTTACTCGTATCTTTTTAAAAAGTTGGTCAAAAGTGTCTATTTTCAGGCTAAGCCAATTGAAAAATTGAACAATAGAGTTGTTAGGCAATTTATGGTCTATTTCAAAAAGTTCTATTTTGTCGGATTCTCGCATCTTTTTTTCTTGACCGATTGTCTTGTTTGTTTCACTATCTGAACTGATTTTTCATTTATGACTTCAAAACAAATGGTTTACACTTACATTACTGTCTGATCTATGACTTTTGAGCAATAGTTGCAAAAAAAAAACTTTCTTTTCTCCTAAATTTTCGTCAGTATAATTAGCAGATAGCTTTTTGCTGTTGAATAATTTCAGCGACACATTAATGGTGATGGTGATTTTGATTCTAGAAACGTTAGTAACGGTATCGTGACCGTTACAAGTCTGTTGGCTTTTAAAAATTGTTAACAGGTTTTTTTCAGAAATCCTTATATTGAAGTTTATACATCACTGAATGTCTACTGTTAAAATTAGCCCTGATCAAAATAAAATTCGAAGTTGCGAAGATATTTTGTACAATTTTCTAGAAGCACCAAAAAAAACGACATTTTCAGAAGGAGCATCAATCAGAAGTGAGAAGACGATCAGTTACTTATCATGAGATGACAGTGGTCGTCTCACCGCTCAATACGTTATGTTGAAACTTTTATCTTAATCTATTTGCATGATGGACATTAATTTCAGAAAGTTTCGGTTAAACCGTTTACACGATGTAGAAAAGAAGAAATTCCAGAGAATCTTTAAGATCATAAAAACCCCTTACTTTTCCCTCTCGTTGCATTCTATCCCATATTTCTTCTGGTGATTTGTCAATGTAAATAATCAATCTTGGCATTTTTAAATTATGATCTAATGTTGCTTTGTATTCCATGAGAAAATGATGACCTATAAATCCAGAAAAAATTTGACTAGTGATATTTTCAGATAGATCTGACCCAACTTACAGAATAGTAAAAATATGTAAAAGATAGTATCTATGTTCTCATTTTATTCGTTTTATTTCTCCGGAAACTACGATTCTTTTTGTTTAGAAAATGTGGCTCATTTTGCCCAGAAAACTACTTTTATAGAAGCTACTAAGTCGAAAGTATTTCGGTCTACATGTCAATGAGCTTTTGTCATGGCTACCTTTCCAGTACACAAATTTTAAGCAAAAAATTAGAGCTACCTTTTGTTGCTGTAAAAAAATCAGTTATGAAAGTAGAATGTTGAAGAGTAGAAGGTTGAATGATCAGAAATATACAACCATCAACAAATATTTTACTTTGTTCTCACACAAGACTTTTTGGAATGTTTAAAAATTTTATGTTGAAAAAATTAGAGTATTAAGTGCATTCTAGACTAAACATAATTCTAAAATCATGCTTCGTCGTTGCTTCTGAAAAACTCGTTAAACTTTCCAAATTCAAGAATTGTTTTTAAAAGTGATTCAACTTTGAACAATCTTTAGTTCAAAAAACTTCAATTCGATTTCCTTTTTTAGTGAATAAAAAGCACATAAATGGTGGATACCGTCAAAAAAGTCTCGCATAAATGGCGGCGACGCACTGGTAGAATATTTTCTGCCAGTAACAACCCCGCCGCAATTAACAGCTCTACATCTACAAACGTGGATCAATAAATAAATAATATGAGAAGAACAATAGATGAACGGATAATTTTGGTATTTAGTGTAAGCTGTCATGTAAATTTCTTACACTATTTCATCATACTTTTGGATTATATATTCATACTCACTATCTTCGTTTAAAAAGTTATGTTGTCGTTCAGTGTGGAAACGATATTGGTTGACAACGATAGATGGTGAAAAGTTAATGGATAATAACAGATTAGTAAAAGATTATGGAATTGTAAATAAAAGTGAATTGACATTT